TAAGCAGATTTGCTACCTATTTGTTCCTTATGTGATGTTAAAATTAGCATTGTTAGCAACAGTAGTAGTGTATTAAATAAAATAGTGGATGCTCATCAGACTTTACATGATTCATATGTAGGAATACTTGGAAGACCCTACGTAGGTAAACTGGGCTTTCTTTTCCCTAAAATGTAGACTTCCAAAGCCCTGAAATATTTAGGATATTGACTTAAAGTTTTGTCAACATCATCTCAACGGCTTCTTTTTTGGTCTGCCTCTTTTATATTTTGTTTTATCCTGAGCATGGAAGCTGGGCTTACCTTGCAGAGAGGTGATGGTGTTTGAGTTGGCCCCTTGCTGCTTTCAGCAAGGAGAGGGCTGCACGCTGCACTCTTTTGAGGGGATAAAAGCATCTTTAATGACTCCTAGGCCACAGTGGGCCTTGAAATAACCCTGTGGCCATTACCAAAGCTGAGCTGGGGTCTGTAGTCACCTGAACCACGAGTACATGCCACGTATAGCTCAATGCTGAACGCAGGAGTTTTGTTGCTGCTTGTGTCCCTAGTATATTTGGAGGGAAATGTGTTGAAGCAGTTCAGATGTTAACTCATTGGCATGATTTTGGGGGTTTTTTTTGTTACCTTTCAACAGCTTATATTTAGTGTTGCAGAGGAACCCTTATATATCTTGGTGAAACAGAAGAAATGCTTCATGTTCATCCACACTGTGTAGTGCAGCTTTGCAAGAGCACTGATGCTTTGGCCTGCCACGCAGTTCCAATTCAAGCAAAGGTCTCCCATGTGGTTGGTTGCGTGTGTCCTCCTATCTCTATTTTGTATCTGCAATTCCAGTATATGCTTCCAGAATGATTTTTTTATTCATTTCCAATCATTCTTCAAAGATAACTGGCAAAAAACATCAGGCTGGTTGTGATTTTACAGCAGTAGAAGGTAGACCACTTTGATCTTGTTAAATTAATTTTCTTCATGTGTGGGCTGAGTGTGTAGTGAGCTGATTTAGTTTTTATCGATCACTGTAAAAATGTGAATTCAGCATCAGAGCAATGATAATAAACAAGTACTTGCAGTGATATTCTAAAGAGTTTCTGGCAAAAATAAGGCAGAAAACCATCTCAGAGACAGACATGCTTTAGTAGTGAGATGCTGAACCAGGATGCTTTATTTGAAAGGGTTGAGTAAAGCTGTTTGAAGTTCTAACTCTCTCTGGCAGCACACTTGCCGTGAACAGGAGCATGCCAAACGAGGCAAGATACAGTCTTTTCATGGAGGCATTTGAGTGTCAGAAATGGCATTCTTGCCTCTGTCTGGAAGCGCTTTCAGCCCCCTGATCACACCAAGGTAACACAAGTTGTAGGAACCAAGTGTCTGCTTTGTTAGAAGGTGTCTCTGAGCACAAGCAGTGGGGCATTAATGACCTTTCTGTCCCCATCTCCAGGAATGCCCTGCAAACCATCGCCATGTGTTTCCGTAAGTCTGCATGGCAAAGCATCAGGTACCGAGTGGGGGAGTGGAGAGAGGTTTCTAAATTAGCAGGCAATTTATGTCTGGAGAAGTGAGATTCATATTCATAACTACATTAAACACTTACTTCTGAATATGGTAGGAGCATATCTCAATTTAAGGTGGCAGTAACTCCTCTAAGCCAAAATATTTGCAGAAGTATGGGCAGGCAAATTCTCCCTCATTCTTCCATTGATCCTGTGTTTCCAAGACTTGAAGAGGTTTCTTAGTTGTGATGGTGAACAGCGATTCTCTGTTTTTTTGTTTGTTTTTTTTTTTTGTCAGTTAAGCTTGTTTTATGCTGTCAGAGTTCAGTAAGTTGGCATGTGAGCAGGATGGATCACAATGAAAAAGTATTGCTGCTGTATGTATGAGATTGATAACATTAGAAAAATGAGAGACAAAATTTTTTTAATGTGAGGAAAAGAAGTTTTTTTTTAGGACTATGAAATTTTGTAAGAGATGGTTTATAATTAACTTTAATACTTTTCTAAAGTTACTGCTATTATAATGAAAGAGAATGAATAAGAGAATATGCCTTGCAGGTAAAACAAAAAAAGATTTCACCGTTTATATACTTGAAAACCAAAGATGCATTGCAGGGGATGAATTTTACTGCTTCTATATTGCTTGTAGTAGAAAGTTGGTCTTTGAAGTTGAAAACAGCTTTAGATTTAAAGAAATAATACACCTGAAAAGGGAGGTTCACAGAAAAAAGACATTGGATTAAGTACTGTTTTGTTAATGAAAAGTATGTAAGTTAAGCCAAATGTGGTTGCCTGCATAGTAAGGTACTTCTTAACATGAGTGGGAATGATAAAATAAAGTCTTAGCAGACTTTTATTTCAACGATTTCCAACTTTCAGAAGTTTTAATCTGGACGTTACATGCACATACATAAACGATAGACCAATACCACAGAATTACTCTAATTTATGAAAGGAGCTGTACTTTGATGCTGGAAGTCTGTCAGCATACAATCCCTAGGCTAACTGCTTGATCGTTAGTTAAAGTAGAGGTTCATTAAAATAACATGGGCTGATCTGGTTTTAAAGGCCACCTCTCAGCCAGTAGGTGATGGTCCAAAATGAATAAGGTTGCAGTGCAGACATTATATGGCAATGGCACATAGATTACTACGTAAAGCTGGCTGATGGGAATGCTTCCATCGGATTGTGTGCTCAGTATGGACCAGATTTTTCAGTTTTTAGTCATCTGTAGCAATGACTAGCATATCTTGTTACAGTTTTTTGAACTACCCGTGTGACTGAAAGGTGCAAGGTTGGGTCTGCGTATAAGTGATGGCAGCTCCTTGTAATCATTTTACTCTGTAATAATTGTATTCTTCTAGTTGAAGTATCATAATGTATCATAATTACAAAATGGATGATGGGCTTCAATTATGTAAGGAAAATCCTTACATTTAAGCCCTGGTCTATCCTTTGCATAAACAGCTCCTGTTTTATTTTTTTTTCAGGAAGAACTTTTACTTTCAGGTTATTTCTGGAAAATCCGTACTGCTAATTATGTAAATTGCAAGAAACGAAAAAAAGAGAACAAAAGAGTGGGGCATCTTATTTTAGGCTTCAGCAAATGCAAAGTTATACGTGGCCATTACAGCTGTATAGAATATGTACCTGCATGGTTCTGCTACTGCTTTTGTTACCAGTAAAACTTAAACTGGGCATTCATTTCTCTTTGTACGTTAGATTGCCAAATGTGGGAACCGGGAAGTTTTTCCAGTAGCAGGGTCAGCTTGTGCCCCCTGGAGAATCCCTCCCTGCAGGGCTCCTTCCTTGCATACACAGAAGTTTCTTGCTGACAGCAAATGTAGGGCTTTCTTTTTTTGGTCTGTTGTTTGTATGCTCTTGTGTAGGCAAGCGTGCGTTTTCTTAGGGCAGTCCTCTACAAGAGCAGCAAGTTTTTGTACCTGCACCTTTTGCCTGTTCAGGCAGTAAGAAGCCCTCCTTGAATGGAGGAACGGCAGATTTCACACCTGCCTGCAGATCAGAAAGAGAGGAGAATGGAAGAAGCGGTGTTTGAGTGAATGAACAAACTTTCAGGCTGACTCAGTGATACATGTAAGGATTAGTCACCACCTTACAGTAAATCTGTGTGGTGCTCGCTGGGGATGTGTCTCTATGGAGCTGTGCTCAGCAAGCTTTGTACACTGAGAATGCAGGTAAATGTTATTTCCACAGTATTTTCCCGGTGAACAACAACAACAAAACGCAGTGAAACTCAAAGGCTTGTAAATTACTAAGCTAAAGGCAAAAAAAATCTTTCGCCTATCTCATGGTGCTGCTATCTTCATCTGTGAAACTAGTAGGAAAATGAATAAATTATGCAACGACTTCTTTTTTACTATTTAGAAACCTGTGCTTACATGTTATTAGTACTGTTCTACCCTGTTCTGTGAGGGTTGGTTTTATCTTGGGTTGTTTTTCTTTTATAAAGCTGCATTTGTGTAAAACACCAATTTACATGATGGCAACAGAATAACAATTACAGGGAAGGATATTCATCTGTTGAAAACACTATTTTCATTTGCCAAACAGAAATTTAAGGAAAATTACCCTCCAGGTTGAATTTTCTTATAAATGTTCTCAAGTTCTGAAATTATTTACTGGCCTAATAGGTAAGCACAGCACTTACAGGAGAGTTCCTATTAAGTTACTTTTTAGGGGGAGAAAGAGGGGGAGTTCATTTAAAGAAAGTAATTTTTTTTTAAAACGGTAAAATTATTCTACAGCATTTCCTGAGTTACCCAAATTCAGTAAGTTTATTATTTTTTGTACTTTCAGATTGTTCTTTCAACAGTTTCTTCTGTTTGGATGAAGCTTTTTTGCTTTTTTTTTTTTTTTTTTTTTTTTTTGTTTTTTTTTTTTTTTTTTTTTTTTTTTTTTTTGTTAATTTAGCTGAGCATCTTTCATAATTCTAAGATGCCCTTTCTCTCTGATCTTCTCATTTTCTTACCTGTTTTACCTGGCTTGTTTAAACTGTCCTTAGAGAATAATTAATTTTGGCCATAATCATACAAAAAAATCCTTTAGAGCTGTTGGAGCAAGGTGATTTTTTTATTATTATTATTCTTTGTTTAAAATTACTTCCTCCAAAATAAAAAAAAACCCAAACCAAACATGGTGTTGAAGAGTGAGAACCAGACCGTGCTGGCACTGCTGGGTGGGACGATGCTGAGGGTGCGTGTCTGTACAAGTGGTTTGGCTCCTGCTCTCCCAGTGAGCTGATCCTGTTGAAGGCTTTGAGTCTTCTGAAGAGCAGGAGCGAAGGCTGAGAGCATTATTAAGTTTTGGGGTTATCTTATGCTGTTTATTTGAAATGGAAGCCAAGCAATTTACATATCTCTGTATCTTGGATGTGAAAAAAAAAAGATTTTTTTTTTTCTTCACTAGCCTATGTGTGGAAATGACATCACAGCTTACATCAGCCATGCTAAATTCAGAGGTTTTTTTCTCCTCCCTGTTGGGTTATTAACTGAGCATTAGCTCTGTGCTGCAAGTCTTCCTTTGCTGTCTGTGGCACATCGATAACTTCATCATAAATGCCTGAATTTTGTGCAATGAGGAGAAATGAAGATCTGGTGCAAAGCCTTTTGAAACTGGTGGGAATGTAGCTCATTTCCTTGCTGTGTGTGCAGCCAGACTGGGTGGCCCCGTGTTGTTCCCGGGATCCCTGCTGCAGCGGAAGCAACCAAAGGACGGCACTGTGCCTTTTGGCACTTCTGATGACCAGGTCAGGAGTTTGCTGTGCCACATTGTTGGGTAGATTTTGTCCCCAGAGCCCTGCATGGCAAAACCTGCTCTTGTGAGACTGAGTAAGCTTTGAACTAAAGCTCTTACATTGTTGCTGAATGTCCCATGTGCAAAGCTGAGCTCCTCATCTCTGCCAGAAATCTCTAGGTTTTGGGGCTGCTCCTCTGGGCTTGATGTAGGGCTACAGCTGTGGCAGAGTGTAAAATGGAGGCATGGGGGTTTCCTGTGAGAGCCTGAGGAACCTGGGAGGAGGGAAACAGAAATCAAATTAAAGTTGACATTTTGAAAAGTTGATTGCTGTGTTTTTTAATCATAAAGCAATTTTTAAAGTAAGTCACTTCCCAGAGGAAAAATAAATACATTAAGAAAAGGGAGAAATGTTGAATTTGTGCATTTGAGTGCAGCAGACTTGGTAGTGAGCTGGTGAGGGTACCAGTGTGCACAGAGACAAAAGGACAACCATTGTTCTAACTCTCCTGCTAAATTTCGAGCTATAATGTCCTATATGTAGAGCATTTAAATTTATTTTTACTATTTTGGGAGGGCGGAGGCTGTGGGGATGGGATTCATCCCAATAACTTAAAAAACTGCAAAAAACCCACAGCAAAACAAACTAATGGATGTGGAGAGATTTCCATTCTTATGTGTGTCTAAGTCAGTGCCCTCTGCCCCGGGAGAAAGGCAGGGAGGCCTCCAGGTGCCTCCTGCAGGAAGACTTGCAGGAACAGTTTAGGATTGGACTCCCGGCATGTGAAAATTACCGATATCCATTCACACACTTTGTATTTCTTTACATCTCTTTTTCTGCCGTAGTCAAGAGCAAGGGGATGCAGGGGGAAGGGCCGAGGGATGTGCTGGGAGGGCACGTGTTGGTGTAACCCCGTGTGTTTGAGCGGTCAGTGCTCGCACACGCCCTGGAGCTGCTGCAATGACTTGTCTCTTCTAGAGCTTGCGAGGAGCACTTCATTGCTGCAGTTATTTGTATAGACATATGCTATTTTTTTTTCTTACATATGTTCTCTGATAATTGTCAGTAGCAGGTGCCTCTGAGCCAAGGCGGAGCGATATTTGAAAATCAGATGCTTAATGGAATTAAAGAATTGTGCGAGTTAAGCACCAGCAAAAAGGACAGGTTGAAAGCATTGGCCTCTGAAGGTCGTGTTCCTAGCAGAGCAACAGCGTGTTTGGTAGCAGTGCTGGTCTTTCAGTTCCACAATCCATTTGCAGAGATGTGACCTTCAAGAAGTAGTCAAGAGGTCAAGTTTTGGGTCTTTTATATGTGGTTTGGCTAAATCAGGGAAAACACAAAGTCCCTTCTAATGTGTGTACCAGCCCCAGGAACAGAATTGGATATGTGTTGCATCCCTGCTTGGTGACTTGGGTGGTGCAGGGCTGGTTGGAGATGTGACATGAGATCTCGAGTCTGGCAGACTCCCACTCTTGGAACCTGCCTGTCCCTCAGTGTTTGTCAAGCATCCCGAACTGTTCAGGTTGCATAAGTGGTTGCTGTTACATTGCATGTTTGTGCAGTGGGTCCCATGGATCATTGCTGTGATAGTAATTGCTGGTGTTGCATCTCCTTCCATCCTCTGAGAAACAACAGCCAAGAGGAGGATCTGGGGAGACTTGTATTCGCTCTGGACTTGGAAAATCATTTTGGGGCATAACCAGCATAACAATTGCATTACCAGAACCCCCCAGTATCCATGATATTGCTGTCACATCATCTTCACATCTCCACAAATAGCTTTCTGAATTACCTCTCCTTCTGTGTTTCAGTTGGGGGGAACTTAGAGATGGATGTAACAGATGTCTAGGTGACCAACAAGTCACAAGTATCTTGTATTTCAAAATATCAGGAAAGACATAATGCCCCTAACATTCTTTTGTGGGGAGGTTTTTTGTCTGGTTTTTTTTTTTTTTTTTTCTTAATTTCTGGTAAAGAACTAGTGAAATATAGAGCACATATGGAAATGGCAGACGTTGTTGGGTTTTTGATTTTTTTTGTTGTCCTTGTTTCTAAAATTAAGCACACAGGAGTTTGTGAGATCTTGCAAAGAATTTAAATCATATTGCAGAGTCATGTGTTCAAGGAATCTTTTTAATCTAGTCACATATATATAGTGAGCAGATCCAAATTTTAAAAAATACATTGCAGTAAGGAGAGATAAACCAAACAGGATAAAGGCAAAAGGCTGCTAAATATTTTTGATTGTACTTACCTAGTTTAGTTTGCTGCCAGTGTTCTGTTTCCTTTTTGTTTGATTGTCCTTCATGTTCTTCCTATGTAAGAAAGAAACCTGTGGTATGAGCTGTTCTGCTTATCCCTTGCATAATGTTGGTAACTGAGAATTTGATCACACGACTTCAAGTAGGTCTGTCTCTGTGTCAGAAAACTAACAGTTTCTCCTTCCTGTGGGTGGGCATCCATGCACAGGGGTAGTAAGCTTTGATTCTGCCATGGTGTTTCTGTAGTATGTTTCTGAGCTGGATCGTAGGAGGAGGAGTGATCTCACAGCTTGACCAGAAGTGCACCTGGCAGTGCTCACATGGGAAGAGCTGGTTGCAGAATTTGGGTCAGCAGGACAGTATCCTGGTGAGCTGTCTGGCACAGGACCCTCCAAGACCAACTAACTGTATAACTTACCCTAATTCATGCTATATATACAATAGAAAATACTCCCTTCAGTGTTTTTACTTCTGCATCTGCAGAACATTGACCTTGGGCTTCTACCACACCTTTGAAAAAATTTTGATGGCATGTCCTACACCACTTCAGAGCACGAGCTACTCAAGTCAGACGCACTGAAGTTTAGGCTTTGCAACTGAAAGGATGTACAGCACATCATGCAACTGTACATGATTGTTTTACTTGTTTCTCATGGTGAATTTAAGGAGGAAGTCGTGGCAGATACATACATATACACACGTGCACAAGGCAGAGCAGAAAGCAGTGAACACAGGCATATATGCATTGTGTTGTAATCGTTTTCTCTTGGGGGTTTTGTTATTGTTGTCCATTTCACAAACTGTGAACCTGTAATTTTTTGTGTGCTGTTCTTTCACCCTCTCTGCCAGAGAGGCTCAATCTATCATGTTAAAAGAAATCAATAAAAAGTCTAGAGGTTTATTTATAAAGTGGAGCATAGAGAGAGGGTGCAAAAATTCCATTAAAATGGCAGTTTAGCACTAGCTACATCTCTTTGGGACTAAACTCCAATATTTTAAACTATTAAAATTGTTACAAGAGTGCTTTTAAAGTGCCACAAATCACAGTAAAGCTTTCTAGTTGAAACTTGCCTTTATATAGTGCACTAGAATTTAGCTTATATATGTTTTTGGAGCATCTAATGGATGCTGCCCTCAAACACCATTTTAGCACCCACTTTAGAGCTTTATTATAGTTAATAATATTACAGGTTTATCCTCAAGGGGAAATACATGAATGTAAGAAGTCAGAATTTATTTTCCTTCAGAAATGTCAGTGTATATATGTCTTTGTGCAGATGCAACTCTGAGCAAATTAATTATTTCTGAGAAGTCTATAGGCTTCTAATGTAATTCATCAGGATTGCCTGGCTTGGCACATGCTACTTGGTTGCAGGAACTTACAAATTCCACTAGCTGTGAGCTATTTTATGACATAGCAGTTTTCACCAGTGATGTGATGGTCATCTACTCCATGTTTTCTATCCAAAGAAATAAATGTGTCCGTGTGCTCATAAATATGATGCTGGAAAGTTTATGGGATAGCATCTGTGCTGAACCTCTCAAATATCAGAAGTAGTGTATCTGAAGTGTAAGCTTCACCTCCACTCAACACGTTTTTGATTTTTTTTTTTTTAATAGCTGAAGAAGATTGATCTTGAAACGGTTGAGTTAAAATGCAAATAGCACTGTAGAGTTTTGTGTTGTACTATCCTCTATCCTGGGATAAAATTGTTTCTAGTGGAAATGCCCTTTATTTGCTTTCAAAAATACCCAGAGAAAAATGGTGAACTCTTATTTGGGCCAAAAGTAGGCTTCTCCAGGAGACAGTGCAGCCTGTTGGAGAGCATGGCTCTTGGTAGGGTCTGTGGGAGCAGACTACATAAATTAACATGGCAGAAGGCAAATGAGAAACTCCAACTCACCACACATTTGTGTGTGGTAAAAATATGCACCCTGTCACACAGTCATGTCTGTACATACAACTCAATAACCCAATTCATTGTACCTGCATTGTTCATCAGTTCTTCCTTTTCTTACTGACCCAGGGCCAGTTCTAGCTTCTTGCTGTTGATTGCGAACATTTTCTTCTTTCCTTGCTATGTGGAGTAAAGTAATGATCCCAGCAAGCTTAAAAACAGCAAAGCTATTAACATTACTCTTTCACTGTTAATTAACATCTGAAGTTTCAGAAAAAGGGCTCTAACCTGTGTAGCTTTTGTGTGGTGGAGATGCTAAAGGGAAACTACTAAAGCTTACTTTTCTAAGCACAGACAGCTAAAATCTTTTCTGTAAGGTGCTTCTCAGCGTGAAAAAGGAAAGCATCTAGTTATGTTACACAGCCCTGAGCAGAAGTGATAGTTAGCATCTCTGCTTTTGAAAAAAAATAAGCAAGTTATGTTAATGAGGATAAAGCAGAACAGCATCATTTAGTTTCCTATGAAGTCTGAAGTCAGCACCCCATTGAAACTGGGATTGCAGGTGGGTTAGTTAGGTTTAGCCAAAGTTTGCTGCCAGCTAAGGTTGGCATCCCAATTCTGCTCTTCTGTTTGAGGAATCTCTTCTCTTCTGCACTTCTCTGGTCTTCAAGTTTCCTCCTTCCTCTTCCTCCCCCTGGGCTTGCTCAGGCATGTTGGCTCCCTGACCTCTTGGTGCTGGGCAGTGCTGCTGTGCCCAAACCTGTGCCAAACACTGTGATGTAAGGAGAGCCTAGTGAGAGGTGTGGGGAGAGAGGCAACACAGCCCAAAGCCTTAACTTCAGCCTTTGGAAGG